ATCCTTAGCTTGGCTCCTGTGCTATGGGCATGACACTGTGGATGAATTCTTAATGAGAACACATGCAAAGTTCCTGGTACACAATGGATGCTCAGTAACCATCAAAATTATGTCCCTTCTTTCATCAGATCTGAGTTCAGATTCTGAATTTGCCACTTCCTAGCTGTTGACCTGAATGGATCCATTGCACCCTCTGAGCCTCTGGTTTGTTTTCTCCTCTGTAGTCTGGACTACACAGGAGAGACCAAGGGTTAAACAAGCCGTCCCCGGTCCATAATTGGTGCATCACTGGCATTCTCTACCAACTTCGGCATCAAAACATACAGTTTTTAATTCCACTCTTACATACATTAGGAGGGGATTTATCTGGCACTGCTTCTCTGCTGTATGAATTCAGATAATTAATTCAACAAACATTTTTTTATTAAGACTCCCAGTCAGTCAGAAAGACTGAGTGACTGTCAATGGGCCTCTCGGGACGGGTTTAGCACTCTGGATACTTTTTGTGAGCACCCCTGCATGCTGGCGCTTCCCTGAGCTCTTCACACACACCACACTCAGTTTTATCCTGACAACACCCAGGTTTCCTAAATCCCATTTTACAGAATGTGCAAGCAAGACCCTTCCTGTCGTGTTTGCTCACTGTCCCTCCTTGGAGGTCTAGAAGGGACTCCAGCACAAGGAATCCTCAGGCCATCCCCGCCTCCCACTGTCCCAGCCACGCCCCTCCCCGAAAGGAGGCTTCTTACCTGTCTTGGCCTCCAGGGAGTCCAGCGCGCCTGTCCCCAAAGGTGCCGCTCGGGCTGTTTTCTGCCCCTGAGGCCCCGCTGCGCCTCACTACTGCGGAGGCCCCGCGGCCCCCTCCTTTCCTGTGTTCCCGTCCCCCGCGGCTGAGGCCGCATCGATCGCTGCCGGGGGAGGGAGGGAGGCCGCGGGCGGCCGGGCGGCCGGAGGCGGTGGTTTCTATTCTTGCCTGGGATGGATGGGGGCCTAACAGCTGGGAGCATCCTTCAAAGTCAGAGCCCGAGGGATGGGACTGTTAAGGAATGGGGACACCCTTGGAGAAAGGTTTTAAGCTCTGGCCCAGGAATGACAGAGACCACGATTTGTTTAATTTAGTGATTAATATGTGCCAAGTACTGTTTTAAGTGACTTAGCCCAGGCATTTTTGACAAACATGGCAGGGACAAGCTCTTAAGCTTCTGACTTAATAGGTGCCTTCCAGGTACTTGCTCAGCTGTTGGAGGCCTGACTTGGGAGGTTGGGGAAGTGCTTCATGTGCCAGCATAGGCTCTAGTGCATCCTTCTCTCCAAGTGTGTTGTGAAGCTGGAAATGGGTCCTTCTGTCCCCGGGCTCAGAACGCCCACTCACCTAGAGAATCCTGCTTTCTTCTTTCCAGGAAGGCCCCAGTGGGTGGCCGGGGGGGGGGGGGAGAAGTGGGAAGACATCCTTGCTGAATATTTAACAACCCCCACCCTCCAAATTTTCTTGGGTGGCTGCTGTATGTGCTCCTTCACTCATAACAGTAGTCACCAATATTAATTGAGTGCTGCCCGTGGACCATCATGGGCCCCCATCCCATCATTCAGCATGTGAGTGTATCTGTTGCCTGGGTGAGATGTTATTGTCAGCTGGGGTGTGATGCTAGGTCACTTGACTGAAGTTTACACCAAGTATACAACAGAAGATGTGAGCCACTTACATCATTTACAAGTTCTGGACTGGGAAGGAGGTTCAGTTGGTATAGTGTTTGCCTGTTGGGCATGAAGCCCTTGGGATCGATGTCCAGTACTGTCTGTGCACACCAGGCTCTGTTGCTTATAACTGTAACCCAGCCATCAGGACGACAAGGTTGGGGAGGGGGCGCAGAAGTTCAAGGTCATCCTTGCTTGGGTAGTGAGTTCCAGGCTGATTGGGATACATAAGATACTATCTCTCTTTGTTTCTGATAGCAACGTTAAAAAAGTAAAAAGAGGCTGGAAAAATGGCTCAGCAGTTAAGAGCACTGACTGCACTTCTAGAGGTCTTGCTTGAGTTCAGTTCCCAGCACTCACATGGTAGGTAGCTCACAACTATCAATGACTATGGTCCCATGGGAGCTGATGCCCTCTTCTGTAGACAAAATACCACATAAATAAATACTTTTTAAAAAAGAGATGAGTTTTTAAAATAATGTATTTTATTTAACCCAATATATCCCAAATATAATTTTGACATGATATCAATAAAGAAATTAATAATGAGGTACTTTCTATATTCACTTTTGGGCTGAGGTTTCAAAATGTGGTATACTAGTTTTTCTTTTTTTAATTGCAGTGTTAGGACAGATTATCATAATTTCAGCAAGCCCCTACCTTACAAATTTGTCATCTCTCTGTGAATGGCATGGCTAGACTCCGTAGTCATCCATGTATGCTTGAACGTATGTGTGTATTAGTATGTGTGTATATGCTGTTAGTGTGTGTATGCAAGTGTGTTAGTATATGTATATGTGTTAATGGATGCATGTATGTGTGTTAGTATATGTGTGTTAGTATGTGTATATGCTGTATAGGTATGTGTATATGCTGTTAGTTTAGTGTGTGTGTTAATATGTGTGTATAATGTATATGAGTGTCAGTATACGTGTATGTGTGTTAGTATAAGTGTGTGCTTGAGTGTGTGACTTACTGATATGCTTGTAGAGTATGGTGATGACATGCCCCTTTTGTAATTAGATTATCTAAGGTTATGACTTCTGTTGACTTTCATGAAGCAAGTTACCCTGCTGGCAGAGCAGGAAAATGAGGGTGACTTCTGGCCACTGCCAGAAGGTTCCTTCCTTCACCCTCACACAGCTGAAAAGCTGCCAGCAAATGCTTACAAGCTGAGGCTTCTGTAGCTGAGGCTCTGATGAGAATCCCATCCAGGCTGAATGTGGCTGCAGCCTCAGGAAGCAGCAGGTCCTGTGCTGGGTCTCTTAACTCAAGGACACTATAATCTAATAAATGTGTATTGTTTAATCCACTTCGTTTATGGTGTCTTGGTACTCAGTGATAGATAAGGGCTTTGCCACTGGATTCCTGTGTGACCTTGAACCAAGTGTCTCTTCTTGCTGTTTCTCCCCCTTATGTGCAAAATGAGAATCTTATCTCCCTTCTGGATTTCAGAGCAGGTTAGCACATGCTGGGCCATTCCCACAAATAACTTTCCCTGCTCTTTACTTTCTCAGGCTAAGTTAGCTGCAGGAGCAGAAAAGGGTTCCCAGTGGCTTCACTAGAGAAGAGCCTGTGTTTTGCTGTAGGATGCCACTGACACAGCTGCTCTGAGCAGCTCAGCAGATCAGGCACCTTGGGACTCCTTCCTCCACTCTTTGGTGGGACCCTTGTCCCAGGAGTGGAGGACCCTGGTGCTTTATGCGCAGCCCCTTGAAGATTCAGTAGCCTTTTGTGCACAGAGGCTCCTGGGATGCCTTCCCTTTCGACAAGCTTGTCTGTGCCCCTTTGTTAGAGCTTCCCCCACGCTGCTGCTGCAGAAGCCTTGTGTGGCTTGTCAGCAGAGACTGAAGTGAGACTTACACTTGTTTCTGCAGATGCCTTTCGGGCTTCACCCTGTCACACTCCCATGAGCCTCCTCCCGGTGTACTTCTCTAGGGCATCCATCACCTTCCACCCCAGGAGCACTTCTAAATTAGCACCATCAAATGAATCTGAATGTCAAGATGCTCCCTGGGGGAACCCACCCAACACAGTTTTCTAGGTTGTAGGTGTAGTAGCCACCTTCCAGGAAGTGTGAAGTCCATGGGGGAGGGGGAGGGAGAGCATAAGGCTGACCTTGTCTATCAGTGGCAAAACCATGGCTTTCTGGGAAGGCTTCCCAGTAGACTACTTTCTACTTCTGACTGGCCAGTCTTAAGCAACGTTGACTTCTCTAGCTGGAAGGAAGCCAAGAGGAAGAAAAAAAAAACTTTTAAAGTTAATTTAACCTTTTAAATCAGTATGGAATGTTATTAAAGTACACAAATATACACTTGTGGCTGAACTAACATTTCAAGTTTCTGCCTCTGTGTTACCCTGGGCAATATGTAGGCTACACAGCAGAGTCACAAGAGCAGGAACAGGAGAGTCAGAATTCCCAAGTCCACCTCTATAATAGCTTGAGTCTAGCAGACAAAAGGAGGCTCAGCAGAGAAAGGGTTGGGGGTACCTCCTTTCCCCTCTCAGTCCTGGGAGGAAGGAGAGTCAGGAATTGAGCTGCCTGGATCCGAAGAATGGATGGATACTTGCTGACTCCTCTCAAGAAACCCTTGTTAGGCCCTGACTGTAGGCTGGGCTCTAGGGAAACCAAGAAAAGTGAGACACAGCCCAACAGCGGGAACAGACCTCCTCTACACATGGCATCCCAGCCACCAGGGCACCTTTCCCTGGATATGGGACAGGAAAGGGCATCAACTCCCCGAGTGTTAGGACTGCCCAGGGCGCGGACTCAGTCAGAGTTCTGCATCTCTGACATCTCTTTAGCCCTTGTTAACCCCCATCTATTAAAACAGAGACTGGCTCTGCCTTGGCAGGTGGCCATATCTAGCTAGAATTTAATGGTATTTAAATTGAGCATGAATTAACTTAAGGGAAGTGTTTTCATTATAATTGACTTCATAATTCCATTCTGTTTCTGGCCAGTGATCTTGCAGATCTCACTTACTGTAGCTCCCCGCTCCCTTTGGAAATGAATTGTTACACCCAAAGTGAGCCATTTAGACAAAGACTAATAGATTACACAACTTGACACATTGCAGTGTGATTCTGCGGGGATGGTGAAGATTATAACGGGATGTGTGGATGGACTGATGTTTGGGGAATTCTGGTAGACATTCATTTTGTGGGGAGGACTGTCTGGAGGTAGATTCAGGGCTCAGTAGAGAAGGGGCTGCTTGGCTTGGCATCTTAAGGGAAGGGAACAGGGTTACAGGGGGACATAAAAATGACTATGAGGTAGGGTGGGAGGTCAGCATAATGGGGTGGGGTACTATGGTGACGAGATGTGTTTTTAAGGTCTTCCTGTGGGCAGGAAGAGAAACCAGGAGGCATGAATTGTAGGGGAAAGCAACTAGCAACAGGCTGATGTCTGTCAGGTTACAACTGTTCTGGAGAGATGAGCTGGGCGGCAGGATCCCTGGCCTCCACCATGATCTCTTCCCGGTGGGAACCACACCTGAGGTGCAGAGCCACAGGCCCTAAGCCAGGATTAGCCTAAAGAAAGGGAAAGAAAGGGTTAACCCCTCTTCTATAACAGAACTCTGAGTTTGATTCTCCATCTAGGTCCCATCAACCCAACTCATGATTGCTAAGACAGGGCTCCCCAGCCTCCTCCACAAGGGCAAACTGATGTGCAAGGCAGCTCAGGGATGTGGTCTTGGTGGCACAGCATATTCAGTAAGAGAACAGGAAACCAGACTCCCTGCCCCCAGAGCTGCTGTTTTCCAGCTGCGACCACATGGGAGGGGGGCGGGCTCGCTTCTCAGGGAGGTATCTTGCCGAGATTGTTAGTTAACCAGGAAGGCCATCCCAGGGCCAGGCTGGAGAGAAAGGCGCCATCCTTGCCCCCCAGGGATGGTGGGTACCTTTGCTGGGGTCTCGGCAGTCCCGGCCACAGGCACCGAGGCAGCATCGCTTCTTGCCTGAGCAGTCTGAGTCTTGGTTACACAAGTGCTTTATAGGACCGAGGCAGTGGAGCTTATCCACAGGGCAGTTACCCAGCTTCACTGCAATACAGGGACTTGCATGAGTCTTGCTTGTGCCCACCAGCCCTGGGGTTTGAGGCTTGGGTGGTTGGCACAGTGGAGTGGGCACTCACCTGAGACCCTAGGAACACATTGGCGGAAGCAGGATCTGGAGCAGCACTTCAGAGACGAGGGACACTGGCGGTCATTCATGCACTGATCAGGGATCACCTGGAGGCAGGGGCCGTCGTCTGGTGGGCAGCCCCCCAATTTGTCTGTACGAGAACCCTCACATCATGTAAGCAGAGGCAGCTCAGGGTTGAATAATAATTACTGATGGAGGGCTTGCAGGTTCTAATCTCTCCATCTCTTACTTCTCACTTGCCACCAGGGAGAGTTTTATAGTTTTTACCATGTAGGGCTAATTTGACATTCAAGTGGCACAATGGAGAGGAAAAAAATGGAAAAAAGAAAAAAACCCTCAGGCTACAGAGATCACTCAGTTGGGATCTGAGTTTGATCCTCAAAACCTACGTTAGAAAGAAAAGCATGTGAGCCAGGCGTTGGTGGTGCACACCTTTAATCCCAACACTCGGGAGGCAGAAGCAGGTGGGTATCTGTGAGTTCGAGGCCAGTCTGGTCTACAGAGCTAGTTTCAGGACAGGCTCCAAAGCAATACAGAGAAACCCTGTCTCGAAAAACCAATAAATAATAAATAAATAAATAAATAAGCATGCGTGTGTGTGTGTGTGTGTGTGTGTGTGTGTGTGTGTGTGTGTGTGTGTGTGCATGATATATGCTTGTAATCCCAGCTCCTAGGAGGGGAAGCCAGCTTGATCACTGAGGTCTGCCAGCCAGCCTGGCCTACTAGATGAGTTCAAGGTTAAAGAGAGCCTCTGACTCACAAAGGAGGTGTGAGTCACCCGAGAAGTGACACTCTAGGTCGTTATTTTCTGGTGTCCATGCCTGCACATACCTGTACACACATATGTGCAAGCTTACATACCCATGCACACACACAGTTTCGACCTCAGACACTCAGAGCGCCTGGTCTGGTCCCTGCCCACCTGCACCTCCCTGGCCTTATTCTCTCACTCTTGCTCTCCTGAGGACCCTCAAGCCAGCTCACCCCCTCCAAGGCTCTGGATTGGCCTGGCACGGGCTCCCATCCTGGCCATTTGGTCAGTTTGTTGATCTCAGTTGAAACGCCATCTCTTCACAAGACCCTGCTTTTCCAAGGCCACAGAGCCGGGTCAGCACTGGAGTGTGTGCTTGTAGCTGTCTGTCCCTGTCATGGGCTGGAGGCTGAGACTTGTCACCCGCTTGCCTTGTTCTTCATAAGCACAGCACAGGGCACAGTGTTGGGGGCTTAATGACCACCGGGAAGAGGGGTTTGAAGGGAGGCCCAGTGTGGCGCCGTGCCAGCTGTTAGCCAGTGAGGCACATCAGCACTGCTCACCGCTTCAGACCAAGCATCAGCTCAGTGTCAACCTTCTCCTTCTGTTCCTGACTGGGCAGGGCTTCGCACACAGTAGGTGGTCCTCTATTGGTCCGTTGTCAGCTTTAGTTCTTAAAAGTGATGGTTTAAGCTGAACTGCTGCCCTCATCTGGAGAATGAGGAGCTTAGCCTGGGAGGGAGCACACATTTTGAGGAATGTCTCCTTGTGAGGGAACGTGGGTATTTGGGAGAGAAGAAGGGCTGGCTGTACCTGTGTGTCGGCGTGGGCCGGAGGTGGGGGTGGGGTGGGTGGGAGGTAAGAGTCTTTGGAGACTACCTAGAGGTCAGAATTTACAATCAAACTCACAAGCCCAGTGCAGCGATGCTCAGGCCTCAGACAGCGGGTCACATGGAGCGGTCTGAATTCTAAGCAAGGAAGCAGAAACTTCTAGTGGGGGGTGGGGTGGGTGCACACTGGTGGAGTGTAGGCTGCAGGATAGAGGCAGGGAGAACTTCTGGAGCAGGGCCCAGGGGTTGGTGTCCAAGAACTAGACTGACAGGGATGGAGCAGAAGGTTGGCGTTTTAAGTGGGACAAACTGCCGGTGCCACAGTGTGGAGACAGACTTAAAAGCCCAGAGCGTAGGAGAGAGGTGCAGGGGTTTGGGTGGTCACACTTCCCTACCTGATCTCCTCTCCTTCCCTCCACACCCAGGTTTCCTGCTATGAGTCTCACACACACTCATTTGTACACTTACACACGCACACATACATACACACCATAGCTGATCTCACTGACACATTTCTTGTCTTTTTCTTTCTGTCTCTTGCACACATTTACACTCTCTCTCTCACACACACAGCCAATGTGTAGACTCCATATCTGTGTGTAGCTGTCATACCTGGGCATGGTTAAACCAGTATGTTCAGCTACACAGATGAAGTCAGGTGCATGAGCTAGCCCTTGACACACAGCTCTCTAAATGTGACTGCAAAGTTGCCAACATCCTGACATTTGAATGAGGAGCATGGGCTCCTATAAACAGAAGTGGCTGAGCTTCCACCTAGACAAGCCAAGGTTTTCCTCCCCCAGCCCTGTCGCCTTCTGTCGCTGTCTGAAATTCTACCGAGAGCCAGGCAGATGTCTCATGGGAGAGGAACCAGGGAAGGATGGATTGACACGAACTAGTAATGGTAAGTGTGTCACACCTGACCAGGCAGAGCAGGCCCAAGCGCTGGTGGAACCAGGTCTCTCAGCCTGGGTGTGGTGACAGGAATGCTCTCTCAGGACACCCTACAAAGTCGCTCTACAAAGTCTCCATGTATGCTGCACTTATGGGCATACCTGACATTTATCCTTCAGGGCCCTGTTTACTCCAGAGAGGAGAACATGGTCGGCACTTCACAGGGAGTCAATTGGTGGAGTGGTCCCTTCTGATTCACAAGAACCATGACCAGAAACCACTTTTAATACCATCTTGGTCTTCAGCCTTGGGCAGGTAGTTTACCATTCTGCTTTGGATTGCTTATCAGTAAATTGGGGGATTAAAAACAGTACCGACTCACTACAACACAGGGAAGAGGCCTACACAATGACTGCCTGAATCACAGCACAAAGTTTGGCCTTGGAACCTCCTAGCATCCTTTCCTCCTCAGCCAGGGCTCTCCAATCACGCCCCTCCCAGGCCAGCTCATGCCCCAGGCAGAGCCCTGTGCTTCTGAGAAAGGCACAATCCTGGCTAAAAGGAGTGGGGGCCATGTAGAAGCCGCTCTCTTATCTACTGATGTGCACAGGCTTCCCCAGCCTTGGAGGAAGGGTTTCTGTCTCCATTTCTATAGTTACAAAAGCAGGTCAGTTCTGCAGAAGTGAGTGTAGATCAAAGCATTCCAACCTCAGAGGGATTGGAGGAGTGGCCTCACCCAGATGGAGAGACTCCTGTGAAGGAACACCTGTGCATCCCTCCCTGTCAACACACCAACCTGAGCTTTGTCGGGGTGGGAACGGGCCTGACAGGGGGAAAGGAAAAAGAAAGGCAAAAGCAGAGATTCCTCCCATCAGAGCCCAGATTCCAGGGGCCACATTCCTTACTAACTCCCAAGCCCCTTCTACAGGCTCCCGGGGCCCAGGGAAGGCTTATTACCTCCACCCCCATAGATGCAATCAGAATGGTAGCTATGTTTTCTCCTATACAGAGAGACACAGTGACACATAAAAACATATAGACAGACCCACAAGCTCAGATACACTAAGCGTCTGTGTTTGCACAGGCAGGAACAAGGGCACACATGTACACAGAGCTAGGTGTGTGTCCTCGAAAACCATCAGATGTGAATGTAGGCACAGATAAGCACTGTGAAAGTGACAGAGTTAATCAACAGTGGAAAACCCAAGTATGAACAGGTATGATGTACAGATAAAAATGCAGACTCCTGGGAGCACTGAAGCATGTGGTCGCACACACACACACACACACACACACACACACACACACACACACACCACTGGCTCTCCCAAGTCTCTCACTCTCACAGAAAGGAAGAAGCCCCTTGGCCCCTGGAGCAGAGGGGTTCACAACACTCACCTCCCTTATTCCTACACAAGGCCACAGGCAGCTGGGTCTCCAAAGCCAGGAGGACTACCAGGAGGAGGGAGCCCTGGATTCTCATGTTTCTTTTGTGGCACCCAATAAGCTCAGGGCCCAGAGGCCCCAAAATTAACATCTACAGCTCCAACAATGCCAGAGCAGTTGAGTCAGGGGAGGAGGACCAGAGGATGATTAGGGTGGCTTGTGTTTCCCTGATCTTGGCCCCACCCCCTGCCTGGTGTCCCCAAGGCAAGGGGTACTTGTGCAAGAATTGAAGGCAGGTGGCAGAGGTTCTTTGTGTTGGGGACTTGGATCTAGCTCTGCTTCCCAGTATTGGGCGAGTCTTCTTGCCTGTCTTCAGGTCTCAGTTTTCCCATCTGTATTGTGGGAAGTGGAGGAAGGGTTATAACAAAAGCTGTGCCCAGAGACCTTTTCCTTTAGGGCTGTTCAACTTACATTACCAGCTCTGGCTGGGAATGTGAGCCTGGGCCACCTCCATATTTTGGCTACAGACATCTGGAACAACTGGTAAAACCAGGCCAGTTTATTGTGCCCAGAATCTGAAGATGCACAGGGAGGTGGCATTGAACTCTTGTTTTTGTGAACATGCATGTTAAGTATATAATTCTTCCATTGATTTCCTTTGATCACTGCCTATCCAGCGGCTGTACTGGGGATTAAATCCAGGGCCTCTCACATGCTAGACAAGCATTCTAGGCCTGGGTTACATTCCTAACCTCTTTAACTTTTTAACTTTTTAAGTTAACAAGGCCTTGCTAAGTTTCCTAGGCTGGGCGTTGCCCTTGCAGCCTTGGAGCCCCGTCAGTCCTCAGACTTGTGATGTTCCTACCTCAGTTTCCCAAGTAGCTTTGTTTACAGGCCCGCACCATGAGGCCCAGCATAGCCCCCTTCCTTCTTCAACATTCATTGCAATTTTTCTACAAAGGGAATTTTACTGCTTGGTAGCAAGTGAGCTCTGCTTGCCTTCTTCAGAATACTAACAGACTCTCAGAACTCGTGTCTCCAGGATCTCAGTTCCTAAGGCTCCAAGCAAAGTCCTTTTCATTTTTGCATTTCCTGAGTTCTGCTTCATTGATGGTGCGCAGGGTGATGGTTGAGAGAGGTATTTGCCCTCCTGACTCTCTTAAGGTCTTGAAGCTCCCTCAGTGTTTTAGACAAGGGGCAGGGATCAGCTTGGATGGCAAGAAGTGACTCTGAGAAGTGGAGACAGCAAAGGGCCAGGGTTGGTTCAGGTTGACACGGTGAATGAAGCCAGGCCTAACCCCTCATCTCGGGACCCTGTGGATGGAAATGAGACCAACATCCTTGGGGAGGTCACTTCCAAAAGCATCTAGAGGCATTGCCTTTTGCCTGGGCTGGCATGGCTATGCAGGATGGATAGAGCATGGCTCTGGTTTGATTAATTAATTCTGTGGCCAGAGTCAATGTAGGTGTCCATGAGACTCCTAACTCCCTGGCCTCCGGAGCAAATCTCCCTCCTTTCACTCAGGGACCCCACCCTAAGTTCCATGCCTTCGATACTGGCTTTGCCCTTGGTGGAAGAGCGTAGCTGAGGCTTGGCATCCGTGGAGACCCAAGTGGAAACTCCAGAGCACAGTGCCCCATCAACACTGGGGCGATCAAGGCCTTGCCCCAAGCTCTCCCATTCAAAAGATGAGGAACATGTTAGCCAGAGATGGGAGTGGACTGATCCAACGATACACACCTAATTCCTAGGCAACTTCCTGGATATTGAAAGCAAGGGAATACTTCATGTGTCCCCTAGAAGGGAAGGTGACATTCCAGGGCTTGTTCCACTTACTCATTCCTAGCCTGGGACAGTCACACAAGGAAGGGCTTCGGTTCAATGTGAACCCTTTATTCTGCGTGCTAAGGAAAGGAGAGGACCCTGTCGTGTAGTGGCTGGTGACATTTGGGATTCTGGTACATCTTCGGCAGCTTTATTTTGGTGGAAAATGTTTCTGGGCTACATTTCCCCAAATTATAAATTGTCCACATCCATTGACCAGATGCTATTCCAGGTAAGATTGTTCTGTAGACATTCTCCTGTGTTGTAAAGTGTTCTCTAAACACCATGGGTTATGATGGCAGCATGCTGTTTTAAAAGACAAAACCCACATGAACTGCTCTTTGCTGGAAGACTGGCAAGTTTCTGATCTTTCTTTTTCACAATCCCATTGTGGAGTTTTGGAGTCATGTCTCAGACACTTCTTGAAAATTCGTTTAAACAGAAATACTGGGTCAAAGAACACAATGGATTCTTCCAAGCTGCAGATATACCTGGTCAGGATTCAAAAGGAGCAGGAGACTCTCCATCTGTCCTGCATAGACATCTGCCATTCTGTCTGTCCTTGATAGAACCTCTGCTTCCTGTCCCAGATCTTTTAATTCTCATTGGTTGTCATTTACCATATATTTCCCCTGACATGGGTGAAGATGCTGGATCCAGATTCCTTCCCCACCACCCCCCACCTGCCTGCTCCTCACCTGCTCACCCCTCCATCTGGGTCCTAAGAAGAAAAGGCCCTGCTCACATGGGGATGCTACAAAGCTCTGTTGCTGCTGCCCACTGCCAGACAAATCCTGGACACACCCAACACGCACGCGCGCACGCACACACACACACACACACACACACACACACACACACACACCTCCTCTAAATATAACTTTGACTAATGGAAGTTTCTCATCTAATTGGTCTTCCCCGGAATATTGGTAATGGCTTGCTCTCATATTTTGCTAAATTGTGTTGAATGTCTTCTTATTTTCATTTTGATCTACACGACTATTTTTTTTTTAAAGAGCTGTTTATATCTTATGGATGCTGCTAATTTTTACATGAGTGGTAATAGAGTGATTTGCTGGGCCAGACAGACTTGGTTTTGAATTTTACTATTACCACGTTCTAGTTGATTTGAACTTTGATAAACCTCAGTTGTTCTTCTGTAAGAGAGACAGAAATAATATTTATCTTGTAAGCTGATTTTAAGAACTACTGCTTATCCTAATTTTCTATTCCAAATGTGTCTTTTTTTTTTTTTTACTTGTACACAAGTTTTCAATTTTAGGGCAAATCAAATCAGCCTTTTCACTTAGCATTTGCTTCCTTTATTTAAATATATATTCATCATTTCTAGGTATACAAATGAGAAGATTTTTATTATGAGAGTTCCATATATGTATATAGTATACATTGATAATGTTCATCCTTGTGTCGCCCTTTCTCTTAAAAAAAGATTTATTTATTTTTATTTGATGCATATGAGTGTTTTGCCTGCATGTATGTATGTGCTTCGTATGGGTGCAAAGCTTGAGAGGGGGTTAGGAGAGGACATAAGGACCCCTAGAACTGGAGATACAGGAGGTTATGAGTCCCCACGTAGGGGCTATGAACCAAAATGAACCTGAGTGTTCTGTGAGAACAGCATGTACTCCCAACTGCCGAGTTCCCTCTTCAGACTCAATAATCCAAACTTCTGTTATGATTAGAACTTTGTAAAAAAAAAAAAAAAAAAAAAAAAAAAAAAAAACCTCAAGTCATATATGTCACAGGGTGTTTTGACTGCATGTCTGTAGATGTGATAAAATACCCTGACAAGAAGCTACTTAGAAAAAAAACTTGATTTTATCTCAATTCCACATTACAATCCATTGTTGTGGGAAAGTCAATATAGATATGTTCCATCACATTTACAGTCAGGGACAGAGAGAAGCAAACCCATACATGTTCAGTAGCCTGTGTTCAGCTTTACTCCTCCACTCTTCCATACTTCAGGGTTCACTTTGTAAGGAACAGTGCTGCCCACAGTGGGCTGAGACTTCCCATATCAATTAGTTTAAGTACGACAACCAGCCATAGCTGGGCAGTGGTGGCGCACCCCTTTAATTCTAGCACTCAGGATGCAGAGGAAGGCGGATCTCTGTGAGTTCGAGGTCAGCCTGGTCTACAGAGTGAATTCCAGGACAACCAGGGCTGTTACACAGTGAAACTCTGCCTCAAAAGACAAAGCAAAACAAAACAAAACAAACAACAACAACAACAACAACAACAACAACAACAACAAAAAAGGCAACCACTCATAGACATGCCTGCACAGAAACCTCACACAGGCAATCCCTCATTGAGGTTTCCCAGCTGATTCTAGGTTGTGTTGGTTTGGCAAATGAAGCTTACCATTACATGTATGCAGTTGCTGGGTTTTGTAAGGATTAGGGTTTTTCTGTAAGGAGAACGATTTTTCTGCCTGCCACCTAGTCTTGTCCTGCTGCTGCTCCAGCCCCAAATAATGCACACAGTTCTGTTCTCTCCAGGCTCTCCATCCTGACTCCTCCTTACTACTTCCTTTTTCCTCCTTGCCTCCTAGTCCCTCCTATCTCCTTTCCTATTGGCCAACAGTGCTTTATTATTAACCAGTATGAGAAACATATACAGAATGACATCTCCCATCATCCCTTCTTTTCTGTCTAAATAAAAAGAAGGGTTTTAACCTTAACATAGCAAAATATATTATACAACAGTTATCAAGTAAGAATCACAGTTAACAATATTTAGTCCATTAACATTTATCAAGATTAAAAGAAACTATTCTATCATCTATCCTATATTTGTGAGTCTAAAGTCCTATATGTAACTTATCTTTAAGCTTAACTAAGGAAAACTATAACCATAACTGTCTGTCTTCAACTCCTTCAAAGACCACAGAAGGATAGTATATAAACTCTAGAGATGACAGAGACAACTCACTGCCTGGTCAGTCACCTGAAGTTCTTCTGTAATCTTCCATCTTCAGCCCATAGGCCATAGTGTGTTTGGCAGACTTTTCAGCAAAGCAGGAAACTTTAAACTGTCTTCTTGTATTGGCAGTTTGTCAGTCACTTTTCTCTGTGTCCTGCAGACTCTTCCATGAAGCAGGAACTCTGTAGCAATGTCCATTTTGAATCAACAGTCACTTTTCTGTGGGTCCTGCATGTTCAGTTTATACACCATAAAGTCAAACAGTCCAGACAAGAGCAGTATCTTGTCCAAATGGCCAGTCTTGCCATATTGGAGGCAAACTTCATAACTTGTTTCTTCAATGTCCATCTTCCTTTCCAAGGCAGGTGGTGTTGCCAGGAGCAGTTATGTCTCACTGTCAAGAAAAACCCTAAACCATTTTAAATGCCATATTCTGTAGGTCTTTGAAAGGTTTGAAGAATGCTTAACCATCTCAAATACATGTCTGTATATCTAGAAATCTTAACTAACTTAACTATAATATCTGACTATCATAGGT